GGACAGCACACCGGGCGGGGCGGGGCCCGTGGGCTCTGGGTGGGCCCGTCCTCGGTCACGTCCCCACACGGATCAGGATGGCGTGTCCAGTGGAGTCTCATCTTCCTTTGGGCGTTGGCTTCACCCCGACTTCACTTCTGTGACCACTTCATTGAGGTGTAAGTCACAGGACGGACAGGTCGCCCGTGGAACGTGTGCAGCTCGGTGGTGGTCGGTAGACACCGGGAGCCAGGCAGCCGGCACCACCGTCCATTTTAGGGCATTTCCGTTGCCCCACAACGAACCCTGCGCCGCTCCCAGTCACTCCATTTCCCCCTCGTCTCCACACCGGCTCCACCTGTCTCCGGCTTTGCTTATTCCGAGTGGTTCCTGCGAGAAGGATCCCAGGACACGCGGCCTTTCCTGGCGCCCGGGCTGTGGCGTGTCCGTGCGTGTCAGCGGCTTCTCCAGGCCGAGCCCCGGGTTCACCCACTGGGTGCTCGGGGTCTCCTGGACTCACCACACACCCCCTCTCTGCAGACGCCACTCCTGGACGACCCCGTCTTCATCCACCCCAGCTCCGTCCTCTTCAGGGAGCTGCCCGACTTCGTGGTCTATCAGGAGGTCGTGGAGACGACCAAGATGTACATGAAAGGTAGCGGCCCCCGCGGCGCGCTCAGCGCATAGGGTGTCGGCTGCAGGCTGTAGGGTCCCGGGTTCGATTCCGGTCCAGGGCACCTGCCTGGGTTGCAGGTTTGGTCCCCAGTAGGGGGGTGGCGTGCAGGGGGCAGCCGACCCATGATTCTCTCTCATCATTGATGCTTCTGTCTCCCTCTCCCTCTCCCTTCCTCTCTGAAGTCAATAAAATAAATTTTAAAAAAGGAAGAAAGGTGGCAAAGCTGTGGCTGGCCCTGGCCTAGCCCACAGTGGCTCTGTGAGCCGTGTCCTGGGCCCTGGGCGGGAAGAGGGCTCCGGCCCCTCCGGCAGCGGTGCCCTTGACCCCGCCCCTCCCCCTCTGGCAGGCGTCTCGGCCGTGGAGATCCAGTGGATCCCCGCGCTGCTGCCCAACTACTGCCAGTTCAACAAGCCGCTGGAGGAGCCGCCGCCCGCCTACTGCCCTGAGAAGGGGCGGGTGCTCTGTCACCGCGACAGCGTGTTCTGTGAGTATGACTCCCTGGTGGCCTGGGGCTCCCGCACCTGCGGTCTCACGCCCTGTGTCTGGGGGGGGGGGTCGCCCCAGGCTGCCTGTCCCTCTTGTGGGCGGGGCCGTGGACTAGGGAGGCCGTGGTCTCCCCCCGGCCCCTCACGCGCCGCGCCCGCCCTCCAGATCACGTGGGCTGGCCCCTGCCCGCGGTGCAGGTGGACTTCCCCGAGGGCCTGGACCGCTACAAGCACTTCGCCCGGTTCCTGCTGGAAGGGCAGGTAGGCGTGCTCCTCCGGTGTGGCGGGCGGGGGGGGAGCCGGGCCCTCGCTGACCCTCCGGTCTCGGTCTCCCCAGGTCTTCCCCAGGCTGGCCTCCTACCAGGCCTGTTTGCTGTCCAGCCCCAGCACGATGCTGAAGACGTGGGCCAGGTACGGCCTTGCCTGGGGCCTGGGCCGGTGGTGGCGGCAGCTGGTACTAGTCTCCTGGGCCAGCGTAACAAATACCACCGGCCAAGCGGCTTCAGTCCTCAGGAATCTGTTCTCATGGTTCTGGAGGCCAGACAGTCAACACCACAGGACTCCCGCCTCCACCAGCACCTGGTGGCCCAGCTTTTCTTGGCTCATGGCCCCATCACTTGCATCTCTGTCAGAGGCAGCCCAGGCGCCAGTGGTGGGCGGTGGTGGGACGGAGAGGGCATGAGGTGTGGACCCTCCTGGGCAGGGCTGGCCGGGCAGTGGCCAGCCTGTGGCCGTGTGACGCCCCACACCCCACATCCCGCCCACAGGCTGCAGCCCAGGACAGAGAGTCTCCTTAGAGCCCTGGTTGCCGAGAAAGCCGACCACCGAGACGCCCTGCTGGCTGCGTGGAGGAAAAACCCCAGATGTGAGCTTGACCAGGAGGCGCCCCCGGCCAAGGGGTTGAGAGTGGACGGGATGGGGGTGGCCAGGGCAGCCAGGGTTGGAGAGGCTCTGCCTGGAGTGGGTGGCGGGGTACAAAGCCCTCTGACCCCATCCCCCCCGCCCCCCGCCCTGCAGACCTGCTGGCTGAGTACTGCGAGTGGCTCCCGCAGGCCATGCACGCCGACGTGGAGAAGGCCTGGCCCCCGACGGCTGACCGCTGACCCGATGGCTGGCCGCAGGACTGAGGACTGGTCTAGGGACCCAGGGGGACGGCAGCAGCCCCTGTCAGACACGGTCCCTCTGGCCCCTGGAAGCCTTCGTGTGTCTTGGCCCAATCTGGGGTGACTGTGTAACTATTTATTAGGGGGTGGGCGAGGGATTATCTCAAACGCCAACCTGACCCCCTTTTTAAAGGTGCTCGTGGGCTACATTAGCGCCTGTGGAGCCACAGGGCGGGAGGGCGAAGCCGCTGAGAGCAGGGGAGACTAAAGGTCCTTCCTCGGGGGTGTCTGTGGCGGGCAGGGCCCCCAGGCTCCCACCTCTCCTGCAGAGCTGGCACCAGGAGGGGCGTCCCCCGATGGCCAGCCCCATCAGTGCCTTGCTGAAATAAATCGTGGCGTGGCCCAGCTGGCCTGGCTCCTGGTTGAGCATCGAGCTATGAACCAGCAGGTCACGGTTCGATTCCCTGTCAAAACACATGGCATAAGCCTGGGTTGCGGGCTGGATCCCCAGTAGGGGGTGTGCAGGAGTCAGCTGATCAATAATTTTTTGCTCATCATTGGTGTCGCGCTCTCTCTCTCCCTTCCTCTCTGAAATCAATAAATATATATATTTTTTAAAAATCTTGGCGTGGAGTCCAGCAGTCCTAGTGCCTCTGAATGTGGGTGGTCTGGGGGTGCCTCTCCCCCACACACGTGCTCTCACCTGGGTCAGTGAGGTCACCGGGTGCTTTTCCTCAATCAGTGTGTGCGGATGCCGCAGTGTAAGTGCCCGGGTCACAGGGACATGTTCCATATTCCACACCGTTCACCGCCCCGCAGCCTGGCCGCTGTCCCCAGTGCGTCCCCAACGAGGTCTCCCCTGGCCGCTCCCCCACGCACCCACGCCGCCTGCAAGTCCTGTCACTGCCCCTCCCTCCCCAGG